AAAACCCAAACTCCCATACTACTGGATCTAAGTTCAGCATAAGAAAATCCCCAACTGTGATAATACACAGATACCAGTACAAGTTAGGTCAGAAGCTACAGCTCAGGACCTGAGTTGCTCAGAGTGTCTATGCGACACACAACCTCAGTACAACGTCGAAAATCACTAAGTCTATACAATGTTCTGTGAACAGAGTTCTACAGAACTAACAAGAATAATGAGACAGACAATCTGTCCAACCACCAAGAGAGTCTAGACCAGACTTAGTACTTCAGGCGAGGTGAGGACACCCCCCCCCTCTCGATCACGTGATAGCTCCGTGGACAGTACTGCCCAGCAACAGAAGCCGGCAGTCTAACGAGCCACAAGCGATAATTACAGTAGTTAGACAATCAAGACTTGAACTGAGCACATAATATGTTACATCCTACCTAACAAAAGGAAGCCAAGTCAAATAACAATATAAAGCAATACATTTACGATTTAGCTATTATCGCAAATACAAGCAATATAAAATTATATGAAAGGTAATAAACATTACATTCATAATCATAATATACATTATATATATTGCAACCCATTCAGGGTTGCAACAATTCTGCATTAAATAATTCTTAAATTGAAAATTTTATATCTTTCCTTTTAGCAGTATGTGCTTCTGCACTATTTTAAGCTATTATTCTTTTCAGATGCACTTGACTATGTGTGTGTCCATTTATTTATGGATCTCTATTTAAACTTATGCTTTTCAGGATAGAAATATAAGATGAATGGCAGCAGCACGCAAACTTTTGCACAGAGTGGTGCACTCTTGAGAGACAGAAGACAAAAAACCTTCAAAATCATTGTTATAGGAGACAGCAGTGTGGGGAAGACATGTCTTACATTTAGGTAAGAATAGTGTATTGGCAGTGGTATACATTTCTTCAGTCATGAGTGGAAATATAAGGTTTTTGCTTGTAAAATAATTTATTTATTAATGCAGTACAGAATATTTTTTGAATATCATTTATCAAGATACTGATTCACCCTGCCTCAGTTTGTAAGTTTTAA